GGCCTAAATTCTCTAAAACTTGTTCACTTTTAGTTCAAGAACTTATGATTCTAATATTTTCCCTATAGGAAGAAATTAGATCAATTAAAAGGAATTTGGATGTACAAATTTCTCTAAATCTCTGTCAGACCTCAAGAAATTATTGGTGCCATACCGAGTCCAGTGTGACGCAGCACTAGCGACCTCAAAATGATACCAGATTCACACCTTATGTACCTATATAGAACATAAATAGAACAGCCATGTACCAGGTCAATCATTCGTTTTCCTTCTTTTATATATAAGCCACTTGATCAAAGAAAGCAATTACCCATTTTGAACTTGTGAAAGTACCTTCTTCATCTCCTTCATCAACATGGATACTGCTCAATGGCCTCAGGTATAGCGATCAACCACCTTTTTAAAAAGATTAATGTAATCCACTTTTTTTTTTCTTTCTTTTTTTTCAAGTTGTATTGTTGTTGCTTCTTTTCAAAATACTTTGTACTTTACCTTCTCTTTTGCTTATTTTATAAAGGAGTGAAAAAAAGATAGAATTTGTCATAATTTGCTGTTTAATTTACTGTTGATGATACTTAAAAAGTGTAAAGCAACTGACTTTATTTGTTTGTTTCTTTCATGTCTGTATCTTCCTCAGTTCATCAGCTCTTGATGCTTATTTTCTGTTAATTTGATCTTGAATAATTATACATGTACAGATCCAGTAAGGTAGATTCAATACTTCTAGACAATAAGGTGTAGTCTCATATATGCAATATTACATATCAAATTTGAGGCTTTTCAATTTGTTTGTCTTCTTGAATTTTTAGGATATACTGGTGAAACCAATGGAAGAGAGAGTGACAAATACATGCCCTAAACCTTCATTAGAAAGGAAGAAGCCACAGAAAGATGAAGCCTTGAACTGTCCAAGATGCAACTCAACAAACACGAAATTCTGTTATTACAATAATTACAGCCACTCTCAACCAAGGTATTTTTGCAAGACATGCAGAAGATATTGGACTGAAGGTGGATCTCTCAGAAACATTCCAGTTGGAGGAAGTTCAAGAAAGAACAAAAGATCATCATCGAAAAAGA